ATAATTTTTATCCACGATTACTTCTATTATCCAATGGCTTAAATCGTTGCGTGGCGCCACAATTATTTCAATTTCCCTCAAAAACATAGGAAGTGAGGTGATATACTTTTGGAGACTTTTCACATAACAAAATGGAAGAGATCACTTTGATGTCGGAGTGAGTGAAGGATTACTCAAAAATTTGATGAATACTGAAAATCTTTGGTTCAACTGTACCGAATCATTAATGTAAAGTTCATACAGTTCCAAACTGGTAACTTCTTTTAAAGCCTCATAATCCAAGTTTGTGTGTTTCGTGAGTTAGGCGCTAAGTAGTGTTGGAAAACTCTCATTGATTTAGAACCTGGACTCTAGGAAGTAGGCCACCTTTTTTGCTCTCGTGTTATGATGAATTATCGTTGAGAATGGTGTCCTGCTCTGAAGATGTTCGTCACATGACAGATGAAAGCTCAGCAAGGATTCATCGGGGTCACAGAGCGGTGCGGCTAGGACCTATTCGCACAAATCTACAATCACAGCTCAAAGTCAATCCCATAAGAGCTTCTGGTGAGGCCAACTTAGGCCTCTTCAAACGAAAAGTAAAGTACTCCAACCTCTCATCAGTTTAATTTTTAATATCAGCCTGAGCTTTGATTGACTATTGCATACATGATTTGCAAAGATGTACGTCTGACTTGCATCTTCACTAAAGGACTGACTAATTTGTGCCTTGTTGAGGTGAATCATTTCATATCAGAAAATGAATGAATTTGCAACGGAACAATAAAGCTGGTTCTTAAGTCCTTGAAAGGCTCTTGATCTACGGGACAAAATACCTTCTATTCAGTTTTTGAGTATGTTCATCCTATTTCATTTAAGGTGGTGAAGGACTGGTAGTTGAATTTTCCCACAATCATATGAATATAGCTGTTTTCACACGGCCTTGCTTTCTCAAAAGGTTTTCTCATCCAAGCTGAAGTGGACTGCAATTTCCACCTCGCCTATATCTTATCAACCCCCTTAGCGGGAGTGGAACCATGACAATGCAGAGGGTAAGCTCGACACGTTAACCGTTGCGCCACATTGCCATTTGATATGTGAAATTCAATGAAAGTGTCAACTCTACTCATATCATTGTGGGAAAATTCAACCACCAGTTCTTCATCGCCTTGAACGAAATAGACTAAGCAAAATTCATTAAATACACTCTTTCAATTTTAGGCTAAATTCGTACGTGAACGCTTTAATTCAAGCGGTCCTGAACAGTTCCTCCACCGAGCAAGAAATATTCCTCGCCAGAGGAGTTTATTCACGCATACCCGTCTGTTACATCAGCAGATCTGTACAAGAAATCAGCCTTTTAATGGCGCCAGGTTATGGGTGTATTAAATATGTCTTGAAAATTGCATATAACCCTGTTCCCAAGGCGGTTTTGTAGGCACGTCATCAACTCACATGTTGGGAAGTACAAGAGTAACATATTTTCCCCCAAATCTATGGCGTTCTGTCAACTGGCTTGTGATATATAAATAAAAATGGTCCTTGAAGTCATTTTTGTACCGGATGTACTGAATTCAGTGAGGTCTTGTTTGGGTGAAGTTCAATTCCAAACGGCTATTAATGGAAAGAATAACAAAACTTGTGTTCAAATGAAGCAGATTCGCGTGTCGTACCATTGGGCATGCACTTAAGTTAGAGGCGGACGACCACTTTTATGTGTATAAATGTGTGCCTATGTCTACCTGTAGACACAAATGTTTGCTGTAGCTGCAAGTACAGATGTCTGAAGGACTGTATAAAATGCATATGAAGTAAGTGTACCCAGTGAATGGGCATCCGGGTGATGTACAAGGACCCGTTAGGCGAGAGAAGGGGCACATCTTTCAGACAGAACTGAGACTGTCGGGGCAGTCGGGCCGACCGACGTCGTGTCGTTCCGTTGGAAAGCAACATGTGAATCGAGGGGTTCCGGGTTCGCATTGACCACACGCTCTCGGCCCTCCAGACCGGCGTCCGGGACGGCCAGAATGGCGGGCGCCCGACGGTCGAGCCCTTGGTCCGCCTGACTTGGCCGCAGAGGAGAATGGGTCTGGGAGCTGACTGGTTGGGCCCTTGGTGAGGGAGAATCGGCGCGTAGCGGAGGAGGGGGGGGAACACTTGTCGGATCTTTGTTGTCAAGGTGGCATCCGAAAAGTTGCAGTCGGGGTTGGGTTGAAGACGGGCTTCGGGATGGATTTGGGCTCGACTAAGCATAGGACAACCGAATGTCAGTAAGTGGGCGTAGACACGACAAGAGAGGGAG